AACAATTAGGCGCATTTTAGCGCTCGTTTTCGGCATGCCAATGCCAATGCCAATGCCGATGCCTCTCAAAACTCTGTGGAACTTTTGAACTACTTAGAGAGCTCCGGCCAGCCCACGCCCATGCCAAGAGGAGGTGGAACAGCCTAGGCCCTTCGTTGCCATACTCGAGGATGCTACATGTCAGCTGCACGACATTCCCGTTGTCATTCGGGTCCCCAGCCTATGCTCAACTTTGCGCTTATTACTGTAAATTTCCAACTGACAAATAAACTGTGCGCTTTAAGGCCCCAAAGACACCCAAAGGATTCCATGGCATCATAACAACAAAGCGCAAAATGAGACACGAAACACAGGCCGGAGAGAGAAAGGGACAGGGAGAGGGAAAGGGACAAAGGCAGACAGCAGTCAGCAGCCGGTTGCAGTTGGTGTCAACGTCTTGGCTGACGCTGACTTATCACTAGTCATATATAAACGTCAGCGCAAGTTTAGACGACTCGGGCCGTGGGGAGCGGGCGCGGGCGCTGGCAAGGGCAAGGCAAGGGCAATTTCAGTCATTTGACAGGGCAGACTTTTGACAATTGCCACACAATTGTCTGGCAACGTAACCGGCACTCACATTCACACTCACATTCACATTCGTATTCGTATTCGCATTCTCATTCATCCGCCGACTGTTTGCGCCGTTGTGGGAGTCATAAAGGAAAAATTTAGCTTATTTGCTGTATAAATACTGACACCTCGGCAGCTCGAGTGCCAGCCAGGATGCCAGCCAGACTGTCATAAAAATGATATCAGAGTGCAGAAGCGCCAGCTTCTGGACGTAGCAGTGTGGCATATGAATTGAATATGATACTCCAAGGATTTAGTTTGGGAAACGAGAAACCTATTTCAATTGAATTCAATTTCAATGCCTAATAACATTTAAAGCACTCTCATAGCTAATGCATCATCAATCGCATCAAAAATTAAGTAGCTAAAATGCACAAGCGTGCAACTAATTAAATATGCATTATCGAAAAAATAAATAAAAATGTGAGAGATAACATTGAGCATGTTATTAAAATGCTGTCAAATAGCTGCTTATAATGGGGCTTTGCTCATTTTGCCCACCTGCGTGGCCTAAGTAATTACAATTTCAATAATTTATGGCAAAACAAACAAAATGCAGACATACACACACATACACAGAGAGAGAGAGAGAAAGAGTGAGAGAGGGAGCATGAGGCATTTGTGTTTGTGTTATTCCTGCTCGTATTTCAATCAATTCTTGCTAAGCAAATGTTATTGAAGACTTTACCGAAAGATCTCAGTTTGTAATTAGAAAACAGCTTTTGGGCCTGGCCACAAAATAATTAATAACTTAAATATATTTACATTGCATTTGGAGCTCTAGCCCAGGCTCTCTCCCTCTCTCTCTCTCTCTCAGGCAGCCATCCATCATAATCTGATTAAGAGTTTTCAATATGAATTGGTCGCATTAGAGCGACGTGCAACGTCCTCTTGAGTCGCTTTTTCTCTCTGCTAAGCTGTGAAAATTAATGGACTATTTATTTGTTTGCTTAATGATTTATTAGCTACAGCAAGCTGTTTGTCATGTTAAAGGCAAAATATTGCTAAGCTGACTTAATGCATAACTGAAAGTGTCAGTTGTAACTATTCCTGATTAAGTATGCCCATATATATATATGCATATATATAGATTTCTGTCTCTTATGCATCAGCCTCAACAATGTTTCCATTCCACTTCCACATTGGCTGTTTGGCACCTATGCTAATGGCTGCAGCTTCGTCTGGCGCGCAGCTAATCCTCAGACGCTCATTAGCAACCATTAAATGTCAATTTACATGTCAATTGGCAAAAGTGTCCAGCCAAAAGCCAAAAAAGCAAAAAAATGAGATAGAGGAAAGTAAAAAGAATAATAAAGAAGTAAAGGAACCACATGAGCTTTGACAACAGTACTCTCTGTTTTTTTCTCTCTCTCTCTTTGTGCTTTTTTGTTAACCATTTCTTGTATAATTTATAGACGCGACATTGCTGGCTGGCCTTTTCACCTTTGGCTAACATTTAAAATACAATTACTTGTCTAGGGCGCATTTCGAGCTGACTGCGCTCGAGGCTAGCCCCGAAGATAAGCAAAAAACATAACATGCAACAATTAGTGGTACCTGCCTTCAGCAGTCTATCTCTCACACTCTCTCTCTCTCTTTCTCTGTCTCTTCGCTTCTCTGACTCTTTGTGTCGCTTGGCAGACAAAAGTTGCCATGTGGTTAACTAATTTAATTTGGTTTTCTTTTCGGTTTTGTTGCTGCTGCTGCTGCTCGAGCATGAGGAGCATGAGCATCAAAGACAACGACACGTTAATGACTTCTTTTGCCTTGGCAACAGCCCAGGCATAAAATAAAATCTAAAAACTGCCAGCACACACACACACACACATACACAGCTGTACACTCACATGGCGCACATGACAACGTGAGCAGAACGAGAGCAGCAGCTGGAGCAGGCGGGCAGGAGGCGGGGCACACTAAAAAGAGCCACTTAACTTGTCTATATGAGCCTAATGGCCTTTAATATTATTTTCAGTGCTTTTGCTTTTGCTTTGCTTTGCTTTGGCTTTGGCCTGGCTCTGCCTTTGCCTTTGCCTTCGCCTTTGCCAGCGGCCCCCCTTGCAAAAGGAATCACTGAAAATTGTGTGCATTTTATGCCGTCATGTTGCCAACGTCCTGTGGCTCGCAGCACACCTGTGCCCCCGGGTAATGCTGGAAAATTGCTGCAACAGCGACTAAACATTGTGCAAATCCCTTCTCTCACTCTCTCTCTCTCTCTCTCTCCCTCTCTCTTTATTTTTTTGTTTTGGTTTCGGTTTTGTTTGGCCTGCCCTGGCCGTGTCCTGTCGAGCGAGTGGTTTCTTTTGCCTTTGCTGCTGACTCTTTATTCCACATTGTCTGCTTTTTGGCGCCGCAACTGTTAACAGCCAGTTGAACTATGCCATTTCATATGTACGTTGAATGCTGCACTATTTCGCCTGCACCTTTGGGCCCTGCCACACCTGGGCTCTACCCTTTACCTTTTGGCCACGTGCTTTACATTTTTATTAAGCTCTGCTCGCCCCCCGTTTGGACCGTGTGCGGGCAAACCTTTCGGCCCCATATCGCTGCCACTTGCACTTGCCCCAGGCCTCCCCTTCCCCCTCTCCCTTTGCTGTGTTGTTTAGCATGCCAGTGGCGTTGTTTGGCTTATTGCACGTGCTTAGCCTCAGTTGAGTAGGTGGAAGAATAGATGGGCCGGAGCTGACGGGGTTTTAGTTCAGTTGAGGACACAAATGCCATTAGGCTTACGGCCCAATCCGGCCCGGCGTGGCCCGGCGTGCCCCGGAACGGCAAGACAATTGCCTGCAGGCCAGTTGAGTCTGCACGGCCGGCTAACGTGTCGTATTAGTTATTTTCTACTTCGATTGCTTTTGCCACTTTAACGCGACAACAGCAGCAGCAGCAGCAGCAAACACCTCTTAATATTCTATGTGTACATGTCTGTGTATGAGTGTGTATGTGTGTGCTATAATTGAACGCTCAATTTTCGATATGAGACACAGTTGGCATTTGGAACATAAGTGCGCCATGGAGAGCAGACGAAGCAGCAGACTCTCAGCTTAAAGCGATACGTATTTAAGAGCATAGCATATGAGTTTAGTTCTTAAGTTCGTTATAATTGAATATACTCCACTATCGGGCCTTCCCCACCCATCCAGCTCTCTCAATATACCCGCTATATACCCCCATAGAAGCTAAGGCTCTCATGTATAAATATAATCTGATATATATATTAAATATTTTTCCAAGTAGTGGCTAAAATGTTATTTACCTTTTAATGTCTATATTAACTTGTAGCATCTGTCAGTTCGTATGTATGTGTGTGTGCGTGTGCGTGTTTACGTATCGTGTGTGTTCCATATAAACTTATATATATATAAATATTTAGCTAACTGTTATAATTATTGTTATAAGAAATTTTCCATTTTGTAAGTTGTAAGTTACAAAAAAAAAAAAAAAAACTGTGCGACAATTTTACTAAATATCACCCATTTTTATCTTCTTTTCTTTCCTTTTTATGTAACACTTGTTCGTGCTCTTTATAAAAATATATATATATATATTTCCATATATATATATACATGTTTTCACGTATATATAAATAATTGAAAAATAAAAATAAAAAATATTTTAAAAAACATCAAAATTGGCAAAATTGGAAAACTGACAATAATTACTTAAATCTTTTTATTGAATTTTTAATTTTTTTGCTTTTCAATTTTTTAAACCAAAATTTTTTAATGCAACCCCTGCAACAAAACACAAAAATAAATTTTACAATCAAACAAAATTAAATTCCTTGGCGTGTTGCCATTTCCGAAATTCCAAAATCTCCCAAATATTCCCCACATTAATGAATGTTGTAATTGTACTTGCTCCTTTGGTGTCGATATCAAAAACCAACACCAATAATTAAAAATAAAAAACAAAAACAAAAATATAACAAATTTTGTTAAATAAATGTTGTTGCTTTCAATTTCAATTTCAATTTCGTTTCATTTTCATTTCTTTCCGTATTTTTTATTTTTTATTCAATGTGCCTGCTGCGTTTGTTACTCGTTACAAAAAACTGTTGCGTAATGTGTAACTTTGTTGCATTTACATCTTTATATATGTCACAATATATATATTATGACGCTCATATGGCCTGATTTTCGTACTCGGTATTAACTTTCTTTACCACTTCCGTTTCCGTTTCCATTTGCGTTTCCGTTTACATTTCCGTTCTCGTTCTCGTTTCTGACATTTTTCGGTAACTTTCGCTTGATTTGCATTATTGGCCAAACTTCTTTTTTAATGCTATGGCTTTTACAATTTGATTTTCACACATGCCACTCTTCCATTTTGCTGCCTCTTTTGATATAAAAAAAAAAAAAAAAATTAAATAAAAAAAAAAAAAAAAATAACAGAGCATCTAGATCGCAAGCTGTTCGTTGGCATGCTCAGCAAACAACAAACCGAAGATGATGTTAGACAAATATTTCATCCATTTGGCACTATAGAGGAGTGCACCATATTGCGTGGCCCGGACGGTGCTAGTAAAGGTAAGTACGCCCCCAAAACTTTTATTCAGTAACAGTATGTACTTAAATCAAGTTATTCAAATATTGCGTATACGTAACGTGTTGAGCTCGTTATTTGTTGTTTGCCAGTTTTCATTGTGTTGACGTTTTAAATAGTTTCCTATTTTATATATGTAGTGCTAAACGAATCTATAATGCTATACACATGACTCCGATAATTGCAAATAAGTAAGTTTTGCTAATGCAGGCGTAAGGGTACAAGAAATGTACATGGACCGTACTTGAGTTATTTGACATGTTTAATCTATAAGAGAATCAAATAAAATGTTGTTTAATAAATGCCGAGAGAGCTTCAAAGAAATTTCAACACGCGCTCAAAAGTATGCAGCAATTTTTGCAAGACAGCTTAGACAAAGGCTGACTGCTGCAGTGCTCGCAAAATACAACAATCGACAGCAAATGATGTTTCCATAAGCTGCTAATGCCAGTTATTGCATCTCTGCACCTCACACACACACACACACACACACACACACACATACACACACAAACATCTGGGTTTATGGCCTGCGCCTGCTTATGCAGGCAGTCAGATAAAATGCTGGCTGAATGGCCGGCCAGTTAACATTGTAGCAGCTGTGCAACGAGCCAAATAATCATCACAAGCATAACCATAACAATTATACAGCTTGGCGAGCAGGCAGCGTATTCAGAATTCAAATTCGTGGCATACATAAAATAAAAATCGGGTAAACAGTTCAATTAAAGTTGTTTGCTTTTCCACAGCGCTGCTTGCCAGCTCACACGCTGCCCATTTGCATTTATGTGAATGCTGCTGTGTGTGTTTGTGTGCATATTTACACACACAACACACACAGTCACAGCGCAGAATAAACAACAAAGAAAGTATACAAAAAAAAAACCGTTAGGAAAAAAGTTGCGTTTGTTTTAATATGCAAGCAACTTTTTAACAATAACATTTCATTTTATTATGTCAAAAGTTTTGGTTTTGCGCGAGCACAGAAACACACACACACACACACACATGCATTTATTTTGCTTACATTTGCAACATTTGACTGCCGCTGTCGGCGTCGCTTATTGTTGTATGTTAATGTTTGTTATTGTTGTTCTTTTGTTGTCGTTTATTGTTGCCATTTTGATATGCATGAAAAGGCGCCTGGGCCAGCGCCTGTGAGCGAACAGCTGGGCAGCAAACGGTAGGCGTGGCACTTGCCAAGCGACACTTCCATGCAGCTTGTTTGCATTGAAGCATTTTACTTTACTTTTGGGCCACATTAGAATAACAACAAACAAACTGAATGCAAAAGAATAACACTAACAAAAAATACATATTCAAATCTAGCTTTTTTAAAGCCAACAATTCTTTACTCCAAGCACTTTTAAAGCTCTTGCCACCCCAGCTGCTCAACACTTTGCGTCTGATTGAAATCTGCAAATCACGTTATTATCATACAACATATTCTTGAAGGCTTATTGGCCCGCTAATCCAATCATTATCTAACAGCTAAATCAAATTTCTGTCAAATTCCCGAGGGATGAGCCAATAAATTTATGTTCAATCATATTTTTATGTAGCTCAGCCTACAAAATGGAGGAAAAGGAAGGAAAATTGCAGGGCAGACAGCAATGACAGCACAGCTATAAGAATAATTTGTCGAACTCTATTGTTGCTGTTGGTGTTGCTGTTGTTGCTCGCCAAAGACAAGAGAAAACTTGTCGATGTCGCCCATCGACAGGGAAAAGTTCAAAGCCGCGAAAACTGTCAGTTGATGTGGTCTTGCGGTCCGTGCGCTTGCGGCCGTTGTGGCCTCTGATGGGCTCTGATGTGGTCTGATGTTGATGGCAATGCGAACATATCATTCTTCATTAAAATGCGCTTCAAAGTCAGTCAGGCAGGCAAGCAGCAGGCAGGCAGGCAGGCAGGCAGGCAGTCAGCCAACGAAGTTTTTGGCGTAGTGACAGGGCGCTAGTCTTCTGTGTAAGTGCCAAAATCCATCAACGTCAATTTTTTCTCGCTGCTGCGAATTATATTCAAAGAAAATCAAGTCAAGCCGAGGGGGGACGCCAGCGGATGGCAAATCAAATGTGTAAACGGCGCTAGCAAGTAATGAAGGCAAAGGACAAGCAAGAGTTGCCTGACTGGCTGACTGACTGACTGACTCAGGGACCCATGGACTGAATGACTGACTGAAAATGTATGCAAATGATGATGCATGTGGCGGCAAATGTGGTGAATGTGGAGGTAAGAGCAGAAGCAGCAGCAGGAGCAGCAGCAGCAGCTCGAGAAGGGGACGAACAACAATAACAGCTGGGCGAAGGCAGCGGGGGCTCGACGCCCTGTCTGACAGGCAACAGGAATAAGCGCAACCATCATGTTAAATTATGCAAATTCGATTTCAGTGAGTGAATGAAACGAAACGAAACGAAACGAATGAAGCGGGTCGAGAACTGACTTTGAAACTTTGCCCAGCCCCAACAAAACACAAAGCATGTGGTTGCCGAGACTAACTGACTGACTGACTAACTTGACTAACTGGCATGGAACGGGCACACACACACACATACACACGCACACAGGCACACACACTTGCTCACATGTGCTGTGGTAATGCAAAAATTGTACAGCTTGACAATGGCTCAGGCCGAGCATGTGTCAGCCACTGCAGCAGACACAGGCCGTGCAGACAGGCAGACAGACTGGCAGGCAGGCAGGCAAGTCGGGCTCATTTGATTAGAATATTCATGCATGCACTTCATTGTCATCAAGGCGAGCAGCTGCCGTCGTGTCATCTGCGCAATCAACACAATTGTGCAGTGCAGCGGCAGAGGAGGAGAGAGAGAGAGAGAGAGGGAGATGCAGTGTCAATCCCAACTCGACTGCACTCTTTAGGTGCCTGCAATGATGGCGGTAATCAAACTTTCTATACAGGAGCAACAACATCCATCAAGTGGCAAGTGGCATGTGGCAAGTGGCAAGTGAGAGTCGTGCTGCGAAGCATTTGCATAAGTAGCAGTAGCTACGGCAGTGGCCTCAGCTATTGCTGCAGCCCTGACCGAACGAATCCTGTTGCTGACAGGCGGCTGGCATTGACGTCGCCCGTTTGTTTGTGGCCGGGCGGGCCATAGTCGGTGGCTTTGTTGCAGTCGGCATTGAGGCGGCAATTCAAACATTAAGCCTTGCCACTTGGCTCGGCCCCACCTTCAAGCTGTCATTAAGTAATTGCATCACACGCACTTACACGGATGGGCATCAAGTGGCCAAATGACGGACAGCACTGATTGAGCACTGGACTTGAGCCTAATTACAGCTTGGCACTAAGACAAATGGCTAAAGTTGCATTAAAGTTGAAAGCAATGAGAGACAGGAAAGAGTTAAGAGTTAAAAGTAGAATCTAAAAAGAGTTGAATATAATTTTTAGTATAATTTCAAGAGTTTTTTGGGTTACGCTAATTGAAACCGTTACTAAGCAAAACCGCATTAAACACAACTGAGCCACACTCGGCGTAGCACCTGAAGCACCTGAAGCACCTGAAAGTTGAAAGCAGCCACATAAATCAGTTGTAAATTGAATTAAAACGCTGTTTACACCCAAAATTAATTTGAAATGTCTCGCTTTGTCAAATTAAGTTTTAATTGACGCAAACTGCAAGCTGCTGAGACAGACAGAAGGCCAAAGAGACAGTGAGAGAGTGTGTGAGGGAGAGGGGGGTGGTGGAGACTGAGACAGATTCCCTAGAAGCAACTTGTGTGCAACTGACATACAAAAACAAATTTCAATTAATACCACACACACACACATACACTCCTATCACACACAGATGACAGCAGCAACAACAACAACAACAACAGCAATATCAGCGAATGCTCGTCATAAAGTAGACTTGCATTTCTCATGCATTGTTTCAGCCCCTCAAAAGCATCGGCAACCCCATAAATGCGAATAATTAATGTGACATATTCGGCGTAATTGAAGCAGCTATGCAGCAAATACAACCGCATACATTCTACATACGAGTGCGCGCGCGTGTGTGCATGTGTGCATGTGTGTGTGTGGGTGTGTGTGGCTGCTCAAAGCATTCCAAAAACTGCATACGCATGCTGCATGGCAACTGGCTTGAAAGCGTTCCAGCTGCGCTTGAGGCCAGCTAATTGAATTTGGCGCATTGCTGCGCAGCGGAACGAACATGCGGCTCGTCGCTTTGTCAGCCAGCTCTGCCAAAAGTATGCAGCAACGATTTGTTTCGCTCGCACTGGGTACTTAAATTTATTGCCAGCAAAACGGAAAGCAAAATTTATATAACGAGGTAGCGAGCTGCGTAATTGCTCTGAGAGCTGTGCACAACAAAACTTTCTTAATACCTGGCAGCGGCGGCAGGCACTAACGTAAACGTAAATGCAAACGCAAACGCTTTTTGCCAACTTTCCAATGACAGTTTAAGCTGTTTTTGCCGTGGCCCAAACTGAAGCCCGGCCTCGGCCTCGGCCTCGACCTGGCCTGGCCTGGTCTGGTCTGGCTGCCACTGGCTTTCCTGATCCACTTGTTGTTTGGCCAACAATTTTTACAACTGACGGCGAGGCGGCATTGTGTCCTTCGCTTGATAGGCACACCAGCACACACACACACACACACACACACACACACACACACACATTTATATATCTATACTGCTTCTGCGTGAACTTCCGCTGTTGTCAACTCTGTCTCTTACATATCATCATTTCATTTCATTTCAATTTCAATTTATATGAGCAAAGTTTTATGAAGTGCATGTCATGCCTGCCAGTTGCTGGCCCGCACTTGCCTCTCTCCATCTCGCTCACTCTCTCTCCCTCGCTCTCTCTCTGCATTTATTAAATTTCATTTCATTTTCATGGCATAAAAACTCCGCTCATGTTTATTTTACAGCCCTCAACTACACTGAAAGTTCTAACAAGTGCTGATTGAGTGTTGAAAAACTGTCAAATAAATGTGCACAACAAAAGCAAGCGAAGCGAAACGAAACGAAAACGAAATTGAAAATGAAACGCAATGAAATTGAAACAAGGCCGTCGCGTTGTAAAAACCAAATTGAATTTTACGCTTATTATACGCGCTCAACTCCTGCCGTCAGGAGCCAAGCGAATGCGATTTGCATTCAGTTTATTGCATTTGAAATAATGCTGATAAATGCTTAATCAAATAAATAACATTTAGCTGGCAAAATGATGCAACACTAACGTAAAGTTGAGATTAGCGAAATTACTGTTCAAATAATATATTTTATTTAGTCGCCTCCAGCCAATGCTCCGTTAGCTAAGCACACCCCGGGTCATCGTAAAATGAGCGTTAATTAAAATGAAAGTTCCAACTGCGAGACTGCGAGACTCCGAGTTACTGCAGTCAATACACAGCCGCACATAACTATTTATGGCGAACAGAAATATAAAGAAAAAATCTCGGTAATAATAATAATGTAAGTTGTGGCATAAGCTCATAAGTGCCATTTAAGCCAGTCGCCAGTTGTTGTTGCTGCTGCTGCCACAAGTCCTAGGCTGACTGCAAAATGGCCCACAAGCTGGAATTAAAATACATATCAAAAGGCGCAGCGGCAACTTTTGCCATAGACCAGAAAACCCCCAAAAACTTTGTCGTCCAAACTTGCTGCGATCCCTCTTGCACTCTAGCTCACTCTCTTCTCTCTCGCTCTCTCTCTCTCTCTCTGTGTTTAAGTATTTGGCTCAGCTGTTTAATGCAGCTTAAATTTAATTGCAGTACAGCCAAAAGTTTCATATAGAAAACTAGCAGCAGCAGCAGCAGAGGCAGCAGCTAATAAATTTTTATCACACACTCGCTCAAGTGACAGCCTTGACAAAGGCCTCGCCTCCTGCTTAATGCTAATTAACATGCAACACGCCCGAAAGCTATGCAACACATTTCAAAGGTCAAAGCAATTAAACGTATACGCAATCAGAGCAGGAGAAAGAGAGGGTGACAGGGGACAGAGAGAGAGAGAGAGAGAGAGAGAGAGAGAGAGAGAGAGAGCTGAAATTCGAGACAACAAACAGCGACAAGGCTCATAAAAGCCACAATGTTTTCAACTTATGCCAGCCAAGAGCCTGACTGAAACTAATATGCTTGTAGCTCTCGAAGTTTGAATGCCTTGCAATGCAATATATAATATATATATATACACATATATATATATGTATATGGCACATGTGAAACACAATTTGCTAAAAACTGAAAAGTTTCTGTGACAACAGAAAACAAAGACAGATGGGGCTACCCTAAAAGAGCAAATGCATAAGCTTTCAAATTTATTATGAATCGAGTTGAATTTTTTAATTTCGAAATGTCTTTCCCTAACTTGTTCACTTGTTTGATTAAATATTTAACAAGTCTCAATCTCAATGCGGACCTTTTCACAAAAGAAGCTCATAAAAAAATACAGAAAATATACAGAAGGAAATATATGAGAAAACGGAGCAGATATTTAACACATGTCAAATATTCTTGTACCTTAACTCTTTTCTTTTTACATATATAACCAAATAAATATATGTATATATATTACTATATATGCCAGCCGACTTCTGCTCAAGCGTTGCGACTAAATCTCACACGGAAGTAACGGACTCTTTAGGGGCCAAGCGGGCCCAGCACGTAGCTGCCACAATTTTGTTTCATTATGTGGCAAAGTGCCAGCAAGTGTGCTTTATTAACACATTTCAACCTAATGCATGCATGTGTGAGTATGCGTGTGTGTGTGTGTGTATTCACATTTATAGCACTGTGTGTGCATGTACATGTACATAACTTTTTTAATACCAGTCGCCAGTCGGCAGTCGGCAGTCGGCAGTCGCCAGTCGGTCGCTTGCCAAGGCTTTAGTTGTAATAGTTTAATAAAGTAGTAAAGCTGCGGAAATTAGATTTGACCGCACACCGGCATCGGGCGACCTCAGACTTGGCTCCGGCATAAAACAGAAGTCTGTGGGCCCAGCTTATTTCCGCCGCAGACAAACTTTTCACCAGCACAAGAAAAATAAAAAGAACATTAGACGAGTACAGGGCGAAAAACCCTTGTTTTGAGCTCTTTCCCCTGCCTTGTCAATAAAAATGTCCAAAAAGTTCTATGTGTGTATGCGTGTGTGTGTGTGTGTGTGTGGGCCCTAAGCATTAACTAAAAGTCGCTTGAAAAGGGTTCGTCTTGAGCAGAACTAATAATATATATATAGGAAGATACATGTATGTATGTGAATCGATGTGTGTGTGTGTGTGTGTGTGGCATAACTCCACAGTTTGCTGTTTGGCTAAATTTAATTAACTCACTTGAGCGCATTCTGTGTAATAGGAGCTTATCAGCCATGAAGTATGCCACTTCAGATATATGTTTCACTTGAAGGAATTATTGAAAAATTAATGCAATAAGCGATAGAGGAAGCTGCTGCTGCCGCCCCCAAGCCCCCAAAGCCCAGCCCCCCTGCTCGAAGGGCACTCAGCTCTGCAGCTGTATTGAGCGCAATTAGGCGAAAATGAAATTGACAGCCAAGCTTGGATATAATGGATATTGATGTGCAGATACACACACGCACACACACACACACACACACCCTCACACACACACTTAATGCCTTATTGTGTTTATGAACAGCTGCCGCATAAAGGTAGGCTTTAATTTTTGCTTATTTTTTAATAAACGCCTGCCGCCTTATTTAGTGCCGAGGGGGCGGGCTGAGGGGGTCTGCCTTGCCACCTGTCAGCAGCACATATTTTGTTATTATCAGTTTAGGCAGTATAAGTATATACCACACACACAGACACAGCCTCACACACACACAGAGAGAGACACACCCACACATATAAGGCACACATTCTGAAGCTCATTTTCTAGCTCATTGCCAGAGCGAGTCGAGCTGGGGCAGGACATGCGGCAAATTAATTTATTCCACTTTTGTTGTTAGACAATATCCTTTTGACTTGAGCGTAACGGGATACGAGACAGCAACCAGCAAGCAGCAAGCAGGAGGCAGGAGGCAGCAAGGCCAACAAGCAGCAGCCGTCGCGCAGCCATTTAATGAAAATGAAAATGTCTAAAGGCATCAGCAGCCTGTGCGCCGCTGTTATCCTTTTCCCCAGCCCAAACGCAAAATGAAGCAAAATAATATTAAACCAACTAGCGGCTGGCTCTAGAGTAGCAGCCGCAGCAGCAACAACAGTAACAGCAACAACAACAACAACAACAACAACAACAATAGCAGCATCTGCATCAAGTGTCGACAGGCAACTTACTGAGCTGTCAGAGTAGCTGGCCATAAAGCAAATAATAATTTGATATTTGCGCTTCAAAAACAAGCGCACAAATGAGGCTTAAAGGCTCTCGAGCATCCACTTATTTATATATGCATAAATATTTAAGCCTAGAGAATTTTAGTCTTAGCTAAGCCCATTATGAAATTTAACTAATTTGTGTGATTTATATCGTATTAATTTATTGAATTCTCTTCTCTTTTTAGGTAAGTGCACTAGGCTTCATCCTTACAACAAGACACGTGCTCCACGTGGCGGTAAGCAGTTGTCTTACAATATGCAATATATATCATAATTCCCCCCATTCGATATCCACTGCCAGAGCAAATGGAACTTCAATGCAATTCACTTTTTACACACGTAGCCAACAGCTGGCCACAAAAAATGCGAACTGCGAGGCCACATTGACAGCCAATGCTGCATAATAATGTGAATGAACAGGAAGAGCTTTAATGATAGCTCCCACACACACACACACGCACATAGTGTCAACTGTAGGCCTATGAAGTTGACTCAAAGAGCTCGCATTGCCTGGCCACAGGACAATTGCAATTGCAATAAATAATATGGCATTTGCTAGACCAGGGAAATTTCGCACATGAGAGTGCATAAACAAGATTATGAGCGAACGACGAGGAAAATGCATTTTCTCGTCTTTGTGAAAAACATATGCGCCAACATCAGTAGAAAATTGTCCAAGACTCTTGAGTGAAGTCGCAGCTCTCTCTCTATTTGCTGTCTCTATGCCTATGCCTGGGCACTCAATCAAAAATCACATTTCCGTGCTGTTGGTCGGCAATGAAAGCGCACGCACACGCACTGGCAGAGAGAGAGAGGGGGAGAGAGAGAGAGAGCAATTGCCATGCGGCAGTCGCATGCGAAGCAAATGTAATTAAAATTCGATATACTTGTTTTCACCCCAAAAAAAAAGAGGCCCCCAGAGACGAAGCGAGATGACAGCGATGCTGCTGAGTGAGGGCCAGTGTTGAGTTATACAAACACCCTAACAGCATGAACAACCACAACACACACACACACACACGCACACACATATATGCATATGCACATGTGTGGATTGAGATTTCATACATCATCATCAACATGATCATCATCAGCAGCAGCAGCAGCCATTGGCAACAATATTTGCCAGAATTTAAACTTCAATTTAAATTTTTGGTCAGATTTGCACGTACTCAACGCTTCGTGTGCTTTTGTAATTGCATGCACACACACACACACACCCAGGCACACTCACACACCCATATATATATATTTCATGCAAATTGATGTTGCTTTTAGCACACACAAAGGGGGACCTGGTCATATGGCTCAGAAAAATAGCTGCTGCTGCTGCTGCTGCTGCTGCTGCTGGCGCATTTGGTTTGTTGTCTGTGCTACTTTACAGCTGGCCAACAATGAAGATTTATAAATGCATCACACCCACAGCCTCCCTCCCGCCCTCTCTATTTCTATCTCTGTCGCGCTCAGGCAACGTGTGGCAGTCTACTTTAGCCTCTGTCAAGTACTCTGTATGGCATAATAGCCATAAATTAGGGTAGAACAACGATTTGGCAACAACAATAGAAATGAGGGCAGCTCTATGCGAGTGTATGTGCGTGTGTGTGTGTGTGTGTGTGTATGCGCATATATAGAGCGAGAGGTCGTTGATCATTGGATGATGATTGCAATCATCCTTTTGGCAGGAGCAGCAGATTATGTAGAGCTCATGCAAGCGTTCATAATAAAGGCAATGTCCTTTGATAAAAGATGAAAGACTGAAACAGAGAAGAGAGAAAAAAAGTAGATTGTGGCAAGCTCGAAATATATTTAGATACAAGATTGAAGATGGAGAGATAGATAATTAAATGATAAAGATAGAGAGATATGCCTGATATCTGTTTGATATCACACTGCATAACAATTCCCATGGCAACTCGGAAACTTTTAGGCAAAGCACACATACATACCTATATACATGTGTATTATATTTGCCAGAAATGTTGCTCTTCAACTTATATATGTATGTATTTCATAATTTGCAAAGTTGTTGGTTAGTTATTGTATAACTTGTGCCAATCAGTAAATGAAATATATTTTAGCTTCTACTCAAATTAAATAAACGCCATAGAGCGGCAACAGCAACAGCAACAACAACAACAACAGCAGGAGCAACAACAACTCAAGCGCATAACGTAATAAAATTCAATATCGCTTTTAATTGCATGTTTCCCAGGCAACAGCGACAACAACAACAACAAAAACAACAATTGACAGACATTGTAAGCCCCATTGCAAGCTGAGCTGTTGAGTTGCGGCTGGGATTTCAGCGGGCAGGCATCAAAGGTGTGGGCGTGGCAACATGGTTGGTTGACTAACTGGCTGACGGACTGGCTGGCTGTCTGTCCGTCTGTCCGTCTGTCTGTCTGTCTGTCTGTCAGGCCACTTATATAAGCCAGATAGCAGCAGTTGGTGCCCAACCTGTAATTTAGCAAAATGTTATGTAAACTTTAAATCGAGTTATGCATTTTAATTGGTTGTTGTACAATTTGCAAGCGGCACGTTTTGTTTGCCACATCCACACAGGACGCAGGACACGAGCAGAGCGCATATTATGCATATGGATTCATGGATCCATTAATTGAAATACGAGCACACATTGCGTGCTACAACAACAATAACAGCAACAACAACAATTGTTTTATATTTTTGCGTAATGCATTTAAAATGCAGCTGAAGTTCGTTTCGGTATATAGATTTTAAGAGGATTTTCCGAGCTCTGAGCAGCGGCAACAATTAGAAAACTGAAATTTAATTGCAATGGCTTTTGGCCAAGCAGAAAAAGAAGCTCTATATAGACATGTATTTTATGAACTTTAAACTAGGCAAGAATACTTGCTTGCTTAAATTTTCTTTAGCTTTTCTTTAGTTTTTCTTTGCCTCCTCTTGTCTGACAGCAATTTGGAGATGCTTCTTTGCTAAGGCTTCTGGACTTTTGGCTCAAAGCATGCGCATTTGTGCGCTGCTCAGGCTCAAGCCGTCAAACGCAGGCGGCCAAGGCGTGTGGCGCATCGCACCGCAGCTTAAACTTAATCTACCTCTTGGCTTAATTGCTGCCACTACCTGAAAATTGCACCCAAAAGGCCAAGAGGCAGCGCGGCCAACCAGACGCAGCCAAAGACGAGACGGACTCCAGAGTCTCCTCTTCTGCATCCTCTTGCTCTTCTCTGCTCTCTGTGCCCACAGCGCTAACTCATTTTAATGATGCTTTGCCTCCTCCCCCCTCTCTCTCTTTCTCTCTCTCTCTCTACATCTCTCTAGCTGGCAGCTGCTGCTGCTGCTGCTGTCTTAAGTGCAGCAATGTCGTCTTGTTCTAGCCCTGCGCCTGCCCCTAGACTCCCGTATCGGGGCAATTATGGCCAAGTAGCTGTGCTTACATGTGGCCAAATTGTTGTGGTCGCCTCACGGGCGCATTAAAAATGAATAATGTGCGCGACTTGGGCGCACAATTTATGCACTGGCTGCCAGCTGCTGCCACTCCTGCTTCTCCTGCTGCTCCTGCTGCTGCTGCTGCTCCTAGAGGACAGGCGGCTGTTGGCTTTACCTTTTGGGCTACTAGTTGCCCTTTTCAATCATACAAATCCATGCAATCAAATTCCGTTGCGCAATACAATTAGCTTGGGCCCCCGCCTGGGCTCAAATAAAACAAAACCAGCAGCAGGAGCAGCAGGAGCAGCAACAGCAGCCGAAGCAAGAAAATGTTTTGGGCGCGCACTTTATTAGGCTTAAAGCGTATTGTGCTTACCTGGTCCCAGGTAGCAGCTCGTGGACCTGGACTCTGGCAGCCCTTGCCAAGTCCTTACGCTTTGATGTTCAAGTTAAGCCGAGCTAAATTGATTTTTCTTGGTCTGCTGCGAGTGGATCCGTTTGCTATTCCCTGGCCACACACACACGCACACACACACACAGCCAGCAATAAACTTCAAATGAAGCGAGCCGCTATTAAGTTATGCGGCTTTATTTGCGCAGCTTTGCTCTGTTTGCTGCTAAATAAGTGCACAAATAAATCGACCCAGACCTGTAGAGGGCAAAGCAGAAGCCAGGACAAAAAGTGTGGCAATTGCGAGGTGCTTAAAAGCAGGTATTCCGTGCAACTAACTCGGCTAATCCAAAGGAGGATTTGTCTCTACAAGCGATATCTATTGCCAATTCAATCTTAATAATATAACGGAATTTGCTTGTATTTTTTAAATATTCATTGTTGACCCAAAGCTATGCATTAACGGAAAATAATTTATTAATTCGTTTGTTTATTTATGAGCCTTGATTTTTGGCTTTGTTTATGCTTAAGGCTTAGCTGTAAATCCAATTGGAAACTGGCTTAAGATTATTTATTATTTATGGAGCTTAGTTTCAATTAAAAGTATTTTTTTTTTTAAATCATAACAAATATTTCTTAATTTCTCAAGTAATAAAAATGTATTAAAATTTCCAGTTTTGATTTTATATTTTTAGTTAAAATTAATTAATTTTTTTTTTTTTTGTAAATTATTATTGTTTTATTATTTATTATTATAAAATATTTTGTTAATTAATTAATCATTATTGTTTTTAAATAATTAAATTTCTGTATATATTATAATCTATATTTTATATAATTTTGCAATATACTTTATTATGTTTAATCATTTAAGAAGATTGTTTTATTATAATTAATTAATTAATATTTTTTTCATATTTTAATTTAGAGAATTGAATGCAAATTATAATTTTATTATTATTTTTATTGTTTTATATATTTAATTATATTTTTGTTATAGTATTTCTTCAATTAATTTCGACTCCTTATTCCTTCCTTTGCTTTTTCTGCAAACTTCTTGACTGCAGCGCAGCCAGCAACCCCTTAAGCTCTCTTAACCTTTTTCCACTTTCAGTAAGTCGCTTTAATAACACGCGTTGCTTTATAGCTAGCACCCCTAACACTCGACTGAGACCCAACTCCAACTCCAACGCCAACCTCAACACCAAACCCAATCCAAACTCTATCTCTCCCTCTCTCTGACTCGCTGTGCTCTGTGGCTTTAGTTGCATTTGACTTTGCGGTTTGACGTTGTTGCGTTGCCTGATGTTGTTGTTTTTATGTATTCCTTGTTTTTGTTGTTTCTCTCTCTTTCTCACTCTTTTTTTTTTTTTTTTTTGGCTGCAACACACGCAACAGCTTTTGTTCACACTTTCGCTTGGCAAAACAATTTTCCTGCTG